TGGTGTTTTGCTGCCGCCCCATGGCCCGGGGAAGCTTGAGGCCAATAATGGCAAGCAGAAGGCCGAGAATGAGCCTGGTAATGGAGCCAAGAGCTCAAAAAATGTCAATGTAGACGGCGCCACAGAGAGTAGGGACGACGGCAAGAAAGAGGCATCACTCAGCCCAAACTCAAAACTAGACGCTCTCGCCGAACGCCGCGAAAGCCAGGTTCGTTCCGTTGTCGACGACTTGCGTTTCAACACTGAGCTGCCCTACATCGAGGATCGCCCAACTACATATCACGACGGTCAGGAGCCGTACGTGAAACTCTGCCGGATGGCGGTAGCCCGCGATTTTAGGGGCCACGGCATCGCCGTCCAGCTTTGGAACGCAGCACGCGAGTGGCTCATCAAGAATCCTGCGTACTTTAACCCAAGCGTCAAGGAGATGGGCATGGATCGCTTTAAAAACGTCGCGACCGATGCAGTGCCGGAGTGGAAGGGCCTGGTGTGTGTGCATGCCCAGGAACCCGTTATTAAGGTCTACGAGCGCTGGGGATTTAAAGTCGATGAGGGGATGGGTCGGTGGATTGAGCAGGGAGTTCCACATGTGGGAATGTTCCAGAGATTAGATATTGGGAACAAGATGGTTCCATTGCGGTAAGGGATATGTACTGATATCAATGACGAGAACAGAGCTTTATGGGTATGATCAGAATGAGCATGAGATAGAGAGACGTTCAGGGCACGGTCGGAATAATTAGGAGAACGAAATGAGGTAGAGAGTCGGCATATCAGTCTTTGCGGAGATGGCAGCCGGGCATGATCGTCAAGATACCGCGGCAATTATCATATTTTCTAAGCGAATCGGTTCTAATACTAAAGTGAAGCTTGATCAAGTGACGAGAGCTGAAATTACGTGACCTGAACTTGGGGGTATTTACATTAAAGATACATGAATGGGATATTGAAAAGAGACCAGTGCCGAGACATTAACAAGGCAATCAATCTAGTCAGTGGTATTTCCTAGCGACCGCGCATAGAAATGAAACCCTGGTTTGGAGATTGACTAGATCCAACATACCATTAGACCATTCATGTTGTGTAGCCTAACCTTGAGATCTGTCAGAATCCTCAACTCACTAAACTCCAAAAAACCATAGTAAACCGCTTCAAGGCCCAGCTACATATTATTGCCTACCTCGGAGGAATACGTGATGAACTGTTCGACGAAACAGACAAAGCGGTTTAATGGCCTCTCCCAAGTAACGATCCCCTTGCAATATTGAGCTACAAATTTAGAAGCTCGTCGACCTCGAATATCAGGTTCAATGCGTCCCTCTTTAGCCCCACGCCTTTTCCAAATGAAAGTTAACAATCCGGGTGTCTCCCCAATGTCTTGCAACAAAAGCCGAACATGCCATTAATATCCTCCTCAAGACCGTGTCGGCCACAGTCAAGCGCATCGTTGTCGAAAAATCCTCCGGGGGCGGAACCACAGCAATACGCCGTGCCAAGGGCGTCGTTGTCAACACTGTTGGGGAAAAAGAAGCATTTACAGGCGAGTGAAGTCGAGCATGAGATAGCCCAGACCATGCAATGGAGATCGTTGAGAAACGCAACTTGGTTCACAAGGCGATAGTGACACTATCGTGGTGGTGTTGTTTCGCGCAGTGCGAAATTGTGGCTCTGGGAAGTGGACTGCTCAGGCGTTTAACCCGGATGCTAGGTGAGGTGGTGGCGGATTGGAAGAAGTCTTAACAAATTGTGTAAGTTGGTGAATGTATCTCCCCAGGGAGATTGTAGCATATCAGGATCGCGTTTCACGGACGAACATGTCAAGAGTGCTGGGAATGCGAAGTAGAAACGCGAAGTAAGTCGAGCACTTTATAACAATTCTTCTGCAGCCTTGAGTCCTAGGAGTACTCTAAGTTGGCTCATCTGCTAAGCTGGAAAAATGTTCTGCGTCTCGTGTTCAACTTCTCAATCCCAGAAGTTGTCATAAGGGCTGTGGCGGATGAGGGGTTTTAAAATAGAAACAAGGGGCCGATGAGGCTTTGCAGAGTGAAGACTCACAACTTCAAATACTCTTCCATTTTTATTATCCGAGTGAAGTCTCTTTGGAAACGCGGTTCCAGATGATCTAGATGAGCGATCTTCTTAGCAACGCTCTGGTCGAACTTTCTCGTCAAAATGGCATCTTCAGTTCTTGCTGTATTATAAACATCCATTTCAAGTGTCGCGGGATTTGCCTTTCTGTGAGGCAGCATAAATGCCTTATGACGGGTTCAATGATTTACCTATGTGAGTGGGCGGAAGATCTATACCCACAACCGTTACTTGGTAGTTGCCTCCTCACGCACGAGCAGTGCTTTTCGGAACTATTAACTAACTCATTATAATATGTATGGTAGGTACGATAACAATATCTAGTTCTTGTGGGTGTTGGGAGGCGTATCCGGCCCCCTTACGTCGTAACACACCTACATATATGCATAGGTAACTAGCATACCTTACAGCCCCCAAAAAATACGTGGAAGAAGCTATCTGAGGAAATTATAAATTAGTTTCGTTGGGCATGATAGGTCCATTAGCGTGCTATGAATATATGAGCCTTTCATAACCTGGTTGTGTTCTTTGACGCATGGAATAGCAATGTCTTAATATTGAACGGGACTGGCATCGGTGGAGGCAAAAACATCTCTGAGATAACATTACTGTGCATATATCTAGTCCAAAACATTACGAGATTGCATGGTTTCTTTCCTCTTGGTTTATGCTGCACGGCAGGTCCGAGTTGTTGACATGAATTAGCAGGTTCACAACTTGGATTCAGTCGGTTGAGATTGAAAGCGGCACGGAACAATATTTATTGGTTTGAGTTTTTGGCACGATTCAGATACTGCCGGCTCTATCCCTTTCTCAAGTGAGTGGCCTCAATCTTGCGATATCCTCCAAACTCAAAACAGGATCGAGAGATTGTCTACAACGTCCAGCAATCAGACTCAGCAGTGCCACAAACCTCATCATAGTTGATTCATTCTCTCGTCGGTCACACCTGTACCCAATTGCAAACATTGTGAAGACAGATCATTCCATTACCATACTCCTATCTCGTCACGAACCAGCATATAACTGAAGTTGTCCCTAACATTTGACGCCAGTCGAGCGGATTCGTGTGGTTCATAATTTTCAATTCTCAACTTTTTTGCCCACACGGGCAGAGCCGTATTGAGGAGCTCTATATGACTATCATGCCATGTTTACCACATCCCGCCTGAGCCTGAACGCACAAATGCAGAAGTAAGAAGCCCAGATGGTCCACGCCGAAGAAAAACCCAGAAAGAGAAGCGCCCCTGCTTTATCGGTTGGACTTGGCGACACGCTCCAACTCATCCTTCTTCTTGATGGCGTAAGAGTTGCTGCTTCCCTTGGCAGCGTTGATCAACTCCTCAGCCAAGCACTCAGCGATGGACTTGACGTTGCGGAAAGAGGCCTCACGGGCACCAGTGGTGAGGAGAGCGATGGCCTGGTTAACTCTGCGGAGAGGAGAGACATCGACGGCCTGTCTGCGGACGGTACCGGCGGAACCGATACGGGTGCTGTCTTCGCGGGGGCCGCAGTTGACAATGGCGTCAACGGCGATCTGGATGGGGTTCTGGTCGGTCATGAGGTGGATCTGAAATTTGTGTTGTTAGAAATTGCCATAATGATAACCAATTCTTACTCGTCGACTGTTGCTGTGTTGGGGGTCCTTACGATCTCGAAGGAGTGGGCGACGATGCGGACGGCCATCAACTTCTTGCCGTTGTTGCGGCCGTGCATCATGAGCGAGTTGGTGAGGCGCTCAATAATGGGGCAGTTGGCCTTGCGGAATCGCTTGGCGGCATAGCGACCGGCGGAGTGAGGGACGTAGACGGGAGATCGGATCTGGATGTAGTCGCTATAGGAGTTGGCGAGTTAGTTTGATTGTTTTCTTCTCCGTATATGTGCTTTAATGTGTGTTGGGCCAAATCGAATTCGGTATTGGCGAATGTCATATTGAAGAGTCGAGTGCAGGCAGGGAGATCGATGCGGCTCGTTGCAAATTGTCGACTTACGTTAAGGAGATGTCACGAATCTCAACGTCCTCGTAGGCCCCTGCGTCATCCTGTCAGTGCCCAATTCGTATTGTCTCTCGTCGTCGCGCCCAGGTAATCGTCGGAGAAGGAATCCACGTACATCGGTTGAACAGCTTGATGCTGCCAATCTCGGAGGTGACATCCTTGGGAAGGACCTGGTAGGAGGAAGACTCGACCTCGATCTCACCGTTGTCAGACATGTTGGGCGATGTGGTTGGCGACTGTCTGAGGGTTAGTTGGTGGTGGGGAGGATCGCGAACTTGAAGGTCTTCGAAATGTACAACAGAGAAATTTTGGCCGGGTCCTCTTCGGAATTGATTTTTGGTGGGAAGTGCTGCAAAGGTCAGAGGGGGGGATGTGGTGGAGCGGGCTCAGTGGCAGTGGGCACCCGTCAGGTCTCCAGCTGGGCTGCACACAAGCGAGGGTGCCACCTGGTGGCTGCGCTAGGGTTCAGCGGCTAGCCTACCTGGCAATGACTAGCTGGCGCTCGAATGCCTTGACTCTGATTGAGGATTCGACAGTGCGAACGTTTATCCAGCGACTATACTGCTCGAGTGTATCCACGAGAAAGCGTGTGTTGAACAGAAGGAGGGGACTTTTCAATAAGCAGCCACACGATCTTAGTAAAACATGCATAGATTTACATTGAAAATATCGTACAGCTCGCGATAATGGTGTGTTTTTCGGTCTGTGCTTTGTATGTGTTGGTGGAATTGGTGATGATTGTACACCGAACACTGTACGCAACAAATGGCCATGCACTCTTGAACCCCACCAAAGGATGCTGAGGCCGAACAGCTCTCTGCCCAAAGCTTTTCATCCCGATGACTCGTTCTCTGTATGATGTATATAGAATTTCTAAGCACAGTAGGAATAACAATCAGCGAGCAAAGCCTCTCAGGTGTTGTCGTATAGTGGTTAGTACACTTCGTTGTGGTAAAGTCGAAAGACAACTCAACGGCCCGAAGAAACATGAGTTCGATTCTCATCAACGCCAACTTTTTCTACTCTTTTCCTCCACTTCTTTTTTGGCCATCTTCAACTTTTTATGTTACTAGTGCCTTCGATGCTTCAGCATGCTATCTATCTCCCTCCTCAAGAATGTCTGAGCCAATGACGAAGGTCTCATATCCCAAGACAGGTAATACAATGCCTGCCAGCTGCCGGGCAAAACTACGGTCCTACCTTAGTAGCTTGCGGAAGCTCCAGCTTCCGCTTTGTAAAGCGAAACCCGGCTCCAGACCAGAAACAGCCAGCTCAGTGACAAGCCCATAGACAACTCGTGTTGCAGATGGGGATGAATTGAAATGCCACATATCCAATTGGCCCAGTCTTTCTGAATCCTTATCTACAATTCTGCTCCTTCCAATTTTTTGTTGCTCCTGATCTTCATGTCTTGGGAATGATCCCCGGTTCACTTCACGAATTTATGCCAATTGTTCCTCTAGAATACGTGTAGTTCAACCCCACGGTCCTCCGGCCCACCTCCACCATGACGGAAACGCGAGGCAGCGTGCGCCAACGCAAGGCCAGAGAGGCTGCCAATCCCCCTCCATCGCAAGTCGAAGAGGTGGATACCGATGAAGCCGACGAAATCGAGCGAGAGCGCGAAGAAACAGAAACTGTGCTGAAGAATGCAAACCGGTCGCCGAAGAAGAAGCTCGACGATGAAGATGAAGAATATTCTCCATGGGTCGATGTCCTACGAGTCCTCTCATTCCTTGTGTTTGCTTCGTGTGCGCTGAGTTACCTAATTTCTGGCGGCGAGAGCTATACTTGGGGAGGCAAGGCGCACGTGAAATACTTGCAGAAGGAGTGGTGGAAGTCACAGTTTGTAAGTATTTTGCTTCCTTGACAATACTACGATACTCGAAGCACATAGAGGCAAAGCTCTATGGCATAATGCCACGCCTGTGAGAAAGCACCAATTGCTGACCGTTATCTGACAGAAAGGACCCGTCCACCTTACACCCGCCGAGCTCGCAACCTACGACGGACGGGACGAGAACAAACCACTCTACCTCGCTATCAACGGCACGATCTACGACGTCTCTGAAAACCGCCGAACCTACGGGCCCGGCGGCTCCTACCAATTCTTCGCCGGTGCCGACGCAGCGCGGAGCTACGTGACGGGATGTTTCAAAGAGGATCGAAACGCGGATATGCGAGGCGTCGAGGACATGTACCTACCTCTCGACGATCCCGAGACTGATGCACACTGGTCGGCCGAAGAGCTGGCTGCACTCAAGACAGACGAGCTTGAAAAGGCCCAGAAGCGGGTATATGATGCGCTCCTACATTGGGTCAAGTTTTTCGAGAATAACCCCAAGTACCCCAAAGTTGGGTATGTGAAGCGGGAGAAGAATTGGCTTGAGAAGGAGCCGAGAAAGACGCTTTGCCAATCTGCTGCGAAGGGGAGAAAGAAGAGGACTATACCTCAGTAGTAGATATCAATCCTTATGGTATGCATTGTTCCCGATGCTAGTGGCATACAGATCACTCGAGACAAATTGAGAAAAGAAAGTCCTTCTTCTCAAATATCCCAACCAGCTCACAGTCATAATACAAAATACCGCCGATGCCGATCTGAAGTCGTATGGGTATATTAACGTAGATATTTATATAAACAGTAAACAGCGAACCCCGTGTCTCGTGTCTCTGTCGATCGACAACAGCGAGGTAGTTACCCGCAAGTTTTCGATCTAATGCAGGAAAATATGCCAACAAGAAGCAAAACCAAAACCCCTTTCCCTCCTCAAACAATCCCATTCGTGAGCCCCCAGGGCCCCTTTTCAACATCTCATGACGTCGTTAATTTACAACAGCATCATACCCACGGCGAATGTGAGCAGACCTGTCCAGGCAGATACAGAGACAGTAGAACCCAGAGCTGTTGGCACGGCAGATGTCGAAGATGCAGGTGTGCTAGAGTCGGTGCCAGTGCCGGAGCCGGTGCTACCATCGCTAGAGCCAGTGCCGTCGGTGGTGCCGCTCGCTGTGCCGGCAGAGATGGGGTCGAGAGCAGTAGTGACGCCGGCAGCGATTGTGTTGTAGTTTTCCAGAGATCTCGTGGCGTTGGCAGCAGTGCTGTTTGATATTAGCCAACCATTCACTTCGACCAATCTAGAAGACTTACTTCTCATTGATAACCATAGTCATACCAGCCTGGCAATGCTTCCCCTGCGAGCAGTACAACCAGACAGGCGTCGTGGCGGAGATCATCATGGTATAAACTGGGCTCATTCCCGTGCTCTCGCCGGCCGCTACGTCCATATAGCCAGAGAACATGCCCGCGGCGCTGGCGTTGTGAAGAGTAATGGGCTCGCAGGGGTTATCGAAGTTGGACTGAACGACACTGTGGTTCCCCGATATAAACTGGAACTGCACCATCTCGCCTACGGCGGCTTGTATGTTATTTGGGGAGAAGGTCAGGTCTTTGTTTGTTGAGGAGACGGATACTACGTGGATTTTTTGCGCCGAGGCGAGACCCAACAGGGTGGTGAGGGCTACGGTCGAGAAATACATTTTGGATCGTGGTATTAATTCGTGAGAGGATGAGAGAGAGTGTATGGCTTGAACTTGTTGGCGTTTGTAAATGCGACTCGCGCTGTAGGACTAGCCTGAGAATATTAAAATGGGCGAAGAAAAGAGAGACCGTGAAGACACGAAGGAGAGAAACAGACTGAGATTGAGAATAATAGAGAAGAGGAAACGGAATCCAGAGCTTGGCCAAGGCCAGGCATAGAGGTTATATGAACCTGAGGCGGGAGCTGAGGGATCTCCCTCGGATGTACCAAGCATCCATCCCCGTATCGTGTCTGAAATTCACGGGGCGTTTGTTAGTGGTGCGGATGGTGAGAGGTTCTTGAAACACGTTTTGGCCTTGACAATATGAGAACGCCACTAGTCGGTCTGCGACGACGGATATAATGACCTGAGGATTCCCCCCCCCCAGTCACCTAAAGATTCCTCCACTTTCTGCGCCCGACCTAGCGCCACGTAAAAATACTGCGGCCTAAGCGCCACTTAATTATAAAAATAAATATATATAGCATTATATTTATAATATATTATTAATTATAAAATAGTATACGTATTTAAATTATTAAAAAAAACAAACGTATTAATATTTAATAAATAAAAAATAATATATAATAAATAAATAATATAGCTAAATAAATAAATAATAAAGCAATATAAAATAAAAATAATTTTAAAACGATTTAAATATTGTTTTATGTTTTTTATATAATTATTATATTACGTTATTTATTTAAAAGATTTTAATTATAATAATAATAAATATTTATACCGATAAAGTTTAAAACTGAAACATTTTTTTAAATATAAAAAAAAATTAAAATATTAATAACATTTTAAATAACTTAATTAAACGCATTAAAAATAATATTATTTTTAAACAATATTTGTTTAAAAAAATATAACAAGTTATTGTTTAACGATTTAAAATTAATTAAATAAACAGTTATTTATATTAATATAGTTGTTTTTAATAATATTTTAATATAAATAAAAATATATAATAAACTATAATAAATTTTTATTTATAATATATTTTAAAAATATAATTAGTAAAATATAAAAAATAAAAAACTTAAAGTTAAATAAATTTATTATTTTGCTAATATTTTTAAATATTTGCTTACGTTAATTAATAAATACGTTTTTATTATTTTTATTAAAATATTTAAAAAATTAAAAATTAATAAACTATAAAATATAATAAATTTATTAAATAAATAAATTAAACTTAATTAATTTATTTTTATAAATTTAATATTATATAAAAATATTATAACTAGTTTTTTAAATTATAATTATATTATTTAAAAATATATTTATAATACGTTATATAATTTAATATATTAAAAATAAAAATTGTTTTTACGTACTTATTAAATTATTTATTAATATAAAAATTACGTATAATTTTAAGTAGAAAATAATTAATTTGCAAGCATAATTAATAGAAAAAAATATACGAAAAAAGGCTTTAAAATAGGTTTTATATTTTAAAAACGATTTCGAAACGATTTCGATTAATACGTAATATATTATAGCTTTTTTAAAACTATATACGCGCGATTTTAAAACAAAAAAACATATAAAACTTAATAAAAAAATTACTAACTTTTTTTAATTAAAAATAACTATAACGTAAATAATACGATATTTCTTAATTATAAGTTTCGAAAATATTAATTTATTAATAATATATAATAATAAAGCTTTTATTATTTTATATTAAAAATATGTTTTAATTAAAAAATATATTTTTATAATATAATACCGTTACGTTTTTATTCATATATAAATATATTTAAAAAGTTTATTAAAAATGAAAACTATTGTTTAAATAATGTTTAAAAACAAAAATACTTTAATTAAACTAAAAATAATAAATAATAAAAAATATATAATAAGATTTAATACTTATTATTATAAATACTATTAATAAAAAATAATAGCCGAGCTTTATTTTAATAATATTTTAAAAATTATTTAAATTAAATATAATATTATATTAAGATTTTTTATTTTTATATAACGTAAAGTAATGTTTTTTATTTTAATAGTTACATATAATAAATATAAATACTTTTTATTTCTGTTTAAAAAAACCTTATAATTAGTTATTATATTAATTATATAAATTATTTGGCAAATTAATAAATTAAATATAATTTTAAATATAATTTTTTTAAAACAATTTTAAAATTTAAACTAATTTTTTTAAATGGTTTTTTAACTTTAAACGAATTAAAAAAGTTTTTAAAAAAGCATAAAAAGCGTTTTATTATAGATATTTATGCTAGTTTAATAAATATAGACTATTTTCGGCATATTATCCGTAAATAGCAAATTTTACTTTTTTTTAAAAGCGGCTTTAAAATTATATTTTTTTTACTATAATTTAATAAACAAAATAGTAAAAAATATATAAACAAAATTAATAGTACGTTTTACGATATTTTT